GTCTTATCACTCTTATCTGGAATGACCCTCGACTTCACATTCCCATGTACTTGTTCCTTAGTAACTTAGCTTTTGTAGATACTTGGTTATCATCCACAGTGACACCAAAGATGCTATTCAATCTTTTGGACAAGGGCAAGGTGATTTCTGTCTCCGAATGCATGGTACAATTTTTTTCCTTTGCCATCAGTGTGACCACCGAATGTTTTCTCTTGGCAGTAATGGCTTATGATCGTTATGTAGCTATATGCAATCCTTTGCTCTATCCAGTTATTATGACTAATAGACTGTGCATTCACCTATTGGTTTTGTCATTTTTAGGTGGCTTTCTTCATGCTGTAATTCATGAAAGCTTTCTATTCAGATTAACTTTTTGTAATTCCAACGTACTATACCACTTTTACTGTGATGTTATACCAATGTTGAAAATTTCCTGTACTGATCCTTCTTTGAATTATCTGATAATTTTCATTTTCTCTGGTTCAATACAAGTGTTTACCATTATGACTGTTCTTATCTCTTACACATTTGTACTCTTTACAATTTTAAAAAAGAAGTCTGACCAGGGTGTAAGGAAAGCTTTCTCCACCTGTGGAGCCCACCTCTTATCTGTGTCTTTGTACTATGGGCCTCTTCTCTTCATGTATGTGCACCCGGCATCTTCAGAAGTGGATGATCAAGACATGATTCTTTCTCTGTTTTACACAGTTATAATCCCTGTGTTAAATCCAATAATCTACAGCCTCAGAAATAAGCAAGTCATAGATTCCTTGAAAAAAATGTTGAAAATAACAGTTTAGGTCTCAATGATATCTGTTAATTTTATTAACAATCATAATATTGTGGAGAAATTTTTCATTTGATGTTTCAATTTCTTTCCCCACAATATTCTTATGGAAACCTATTTTATGTACATGATAAGAAGCTTTGAGGATGTAATGTCACCATGTCTAGTAAATACTTTTGTTTCTACCACTGTTTGTTAACAACAAATCCGACCTTCTCCATCTGCTCCATCTTCCTTTACAGTGTTAATGATCTGCTTTCTTCGAGGTATATCTCAAATATTACAACTTTCATGATATATTTTAGGATTTCCCCTAAGAGGATAAAGTTTTCAGTAATTCATAACATCTGGCAAACTCAACCTTAGATAAAACTATTTCAGTTACAAAACAAGTTTCATATTAATATTTGTTTTATATTATATTATATATTATATTATATTTGAGAATATATATATTATAATTGAGAAATTTCATTGTTATTAGCATCTCTTCTCTATATTTACCAATTGTTTGTGTGCACTGGACCATAAATAGAGATTTGTAAACTATGTTATACCAAAATGACCCTGCTAGCACCAGTGCATCATGTACAGGAAGTATCCATTTTCCTTTTTAGTTTGATGTGAAAACAGACAAGTTTCTGGGCCTCCAATGACTGCTTGGTGTCATCTATTCTTAAGATTCTTTAATGAAAAAACTCATCATCTGGTGCACATGGGTTCTATGCACCATATATATATATATATATATATATATATATATATATATATATATATATCATGGCTTCCTGTTGCATGTTTTTATAGGATTCATAAGTATCCATAAAAGTGCTTTTCTTAGGCTTTTTTCCTTATGTTTGTTTGTCTTGTCCAATTCAAATATGATAGTTTTTATTTTATATTTTTGCATTTTATTTTGTTATATTGTATTTTGTTTATTTTTATGTTATATAATACAGCCTAACCATAGCCTTCATTCCCTGAACTCTTTACAGTCACCCTAACCTATCCACCAGATCCACTGTTTCTGATTTTTCCTTCAGGTAAGCAGACCTGCCAGGGATATCAGTGGAATATGGTATAACACCATGCAATAAGAGTAGTTACAACTCCTCATATCAAGGCTCCATGAAGCAAACTAAAAGGAGCAAAAGGGTTCCAAGAGCAGTCAAAAGAGTCATAAGCAACCCCCACTTCCACTGTTAGGGTACCACAGAACACCAAGCTACACAACTGTAACATATGTGCACAGGACCTAGTGCAGACCCCAAGAGTGCTCCCTGTCTATAGCCTTTGTGAGACCCACTAAGTTGTTTATATAGGCTGTGTTTTCTCTTTCTCCTTGACCAACTGGCTCCACTATCCTTCCTTCCTTCTTCCACATGTATTCACCCAGCTCTGCCTAATGTTTATCTGTGGGTCTCTGCTTTTTATATCTTAGAAGCCTGTTCTTTTCCAACAAGAGACATGGAGTGGATCCAGTTGGGAGAGAGGTGGGAAGAACCTTGATGGAGTAGAGGAGGGGTAAACCCTTATCAGGATATGCTATGTGAGAAAAGTATCTGTTTTCAAAAAGAAATGAAAAACTGTTTTTTACAAAAGAGATTATAATACATCTAAAGTAAAATACATATACTCTTATCACAAGGTTTGAGTTCTTGAATACACTATGACAAAATACTAGAAAGTGGTTACATTTTTATTAAAGCAAAAAGTAATGCATGTTCAAAGCAATTTCATCATTCTCTATTTCTGAAAGTCTGCCCAGTTCACCCAGTTCTCTCACTGTTCCTTGAGAGAGATGCTGCAATATCCAGGAGATGGAGGGAAAATTAGTCTTTCTTCCCAGAGAACCCATGTAGTTTGTTGATTTCTACTTTTGTATAGTGTTCACATTGTATTGATAGTTTTCTGCCAAGTACTACATGTTTTTGCTTGTTCATTCATTGCTAAATTAAAAGATGAAAATGATAACAAACTAGAGTCTATTTCTTCTGCTATTAAGACCTATGCATGTGATTTTCCTTTGCTTGAGATAGTAAACATTGAAATATAAATATGCCAACAGTCAATGTAATCTGCTAACACTTATTTTACTTTAGACGAATATAGAACTAGAAGTTGGGTCCCATTCTGGAACTCATATGTCCTCTGTATCCTTGTCTTGTATGTGTCAGTTTTATAGATTTCAGTACTCTGATTTTTCACCAGCTCAGTTCCACTATTTATGCCTATCACTCAGTCAAATCACTCATCCTCAGGTACAAGCCCTTCTACCCTTTACTTCATCTCCTTTGTCTGTCTGTCTGTCTGTCTGTCTCTATATATACATATATATTCCTTTATGCATACAGATTTTGTTATTTCAGTTGACAAATAGGAATAATGTTCTGTCTTACCTATAAAAAGATTCTCGAGTGTTTAAAATGTGATCAAGTTTAAATGAGATACCATAGATGAAAATTTTTATATCATGGCTCTTCTATAGGTAATTGAAAAAAAAACGGTTGTCAGAATGTTACCAGAAATTAGCATAGCACCCAGGTGAGATGTGTAGAAGCTTGTCAATTGCACACTCTAGTTTCATTGTATTTCTCCTTTATTATTTTTAACCTCTCTTTACTAAAAAGGTTCAGAAACAGGAAGAATTAACTACTAAAATGAGAACGATGAATGTCACTTGTATCGACTATTCCAAAAAAGTTCAATAAAGTCAATGCTTCAAAACAAAGAATAATGATAAAAGTGCATTTTTGCTGGGCCTGGAGAGATATCTCAGTGCTTAAGAGTACTGGTTACTCTTCCAGAGGACCCAGGTTCAATTCCCAGTTCCCACATGATAGCTCACAACTGTCTGTAACTTCATCTCTACAGGAATTGACACCCATACAAAGATATACATCCAGGAAAAACAACAATGCTCATGAAATATTTTTTAAAAGTAAATTATAAAAATACTTTTTTGCTTTATTTTTGACATGATATGTGTACACATTGAAAATCTTGCATTAGGGCAGCTGTCTCTGTGGCTTTCCCTATCCTGGTCTTGACACCCCCTTGTTTGTATGATCCCTCCTCCCTCTCTTCAGCTGAACTCTAGGAGCTAAGTCCTGTGCTTGGCTGTGGGTCACTGCATATGCTTCCATCAGTTACTGAATGTAGGTTTTATGATGACAATTAGGGAAGTCACTAATCTGATTAAAGGAGAAGGCCCATTCACACACCCTCACTATTATTGCTAGGAGTCTTAAGTGGGATCATCCTTGTGGATTCCTGAGACTATCTGGTAGAATTCTGCACTGAAGTCATCTGACCCTGGGCTTTCTTTTTTTTTTTTTTGGTTGGGAGACTTTTGATGGCTGTATTTCCTTAGGGCTAAACATAGGAAACTTATCTCAAAAATCCAACCAAAACATTAAAAAATGTGTCATTAAGTACTCATCTAATAACACAAACATAAACTTGACCACAGCAAATTGTATCAGTAAATGCAAATAAAATTGCAATAGGAAAATCATAACTAAATGACCTAAATTGCAGAGATTAAAAAGACTACTCATATTGGTATATTCAGTGTAGGGTTTTGCCAACATAGACAGATAAAAAAGAAAAGCCAAAATTTGTTAATTTATGTAGCTTGAATTCTAATTGGTCTCAATAAGGGAAAACCTGGAGTTAGTTATGGGGTAAATGCTGGTAGATTAGAGAAGTAAAGAAGTCAGCCACTAGAGAGACTTTCTACTGGTTCCTACTCCTCAGACCAAAGGGGGCAAGATCCTGTCTCTAGGAAATCCAGGAACTCTAGTCTCCTGTCTCCTCCTGCCATTTATTCTTCTCTCCACTGAGCCTTATCCCTTCCTGTCTCCACCTTCCTAGTGCTGAGTTGAAAAGGCATGTGAGTCCCACATACTAAGATTAAAGTTGTGAGCCATTACTGACTGACTCTGTGTCTCTTTTAGACTGCACTAATCTTGTGATGCTCAAGGTGACCTTGAACTTATGAAGATATGTCTGCCTCTGCCTCCTGAGCACTGGGTTAAAGGCATGTGCCACCACTGTCTGCCCTCTATGGTGAACTAGTAACTTCGATCTGCAGTGTGATCTTCAGGCAGGTTTTATTGGTTATATCACAAGCTATATATCACCACACATTCAAGCCATATTTTGGTAATAGTAAGAGTTATCTATGTGACAGAGATTTCCAACTATCACCATGACCAGTAGCAAGAACAGAGCATGGAAAACACTGGCAAAATTGTTTCACTCTGTCATCCAGACCGTGAAAAAAAGGCATTTTTCCTCATACCCATTGAAACAGTAAGCATGGCCAGGCATGGAACCATGGACCTAATTGACAAATCTTTTAGTTTGGGGAGTTATCTCTAGATGGGCCCTTACTTTCACCTCATTTGCACACACACACAAGCCCCTTTAAATGCTGTAGATCCTATAGGCATTGTGTCCTCCTTGGCAGCCCATTCAAATCCATTCTCTGTTGCCAAGAGCTTTATCTTACTCTTAATGCTTCTGCCTTGCTTCACTTACTCTGTGGTATGTGTACCTCATCCTTCTTAGTCATAAGATAACAACCTTGTGGAGAAGAATGCCTTTAATGTATTCAGCTCATATCATACTGACACATTTTACTCCTACTTTTATCTGCATTATTTTTATGCACATTTGTTCTCTACTAGAAAAATTTATTTCAAGCCAACTGATTGATTGTTGAGTGTTCCAAAATATACGCCTTTGGTTTACAACCTATTTTTCTAGTTGTGGGGTGAACAGGGAATAACCTTTATATTCACAAGATGCATTTACTCTGAAGACAATTATAATCAGTTTTCAATGGTCAAATCTTAATGTTGTTTATAGATAAGTTTTGGTTTTTTGAGTAAATATTTGCCTTTGAATTGATTTATTTTACTAATTAAGGAGTGTGAATATGTAGTCACCATGTTTATACTGTCAGGAAGAATGTCTCCGGGCTGGACATATAGCTCAGAAGGGCACATACTGCTCTTTCAGAAGGACCAAATTCAGTCCTCAACACCCTCATCTGATGATTTACTAGTTCTTGTAATTCTAGCTTCAGGATACTCAACACCCTGTTAAGGTTTTGGGTACCACAGTTGTGCAGAAACTCAAACATGGACATATAAACAGGTAGTTTATTAAGAAATAAAAAATTACAAATGAGAAGAAAATTTCTGACCTGGTTTCACAGAGCCTGTGTAATCTCTCAAATTCTGCACTCTTAGGCCACTGAGGTATGGTACAGCCTATATTCTTAGGTACCCAAATTGTCAGTCTCTAGTAGAAGAGCTTCACTTTGTCCAGCAGGAAGCCACCAGGTCCTCAAGGAGATTTCACATTTCCACTCCCTCAGTCTTTGGAATAAGGAGAGAATAACAGCTGTTGGTTCTTGTACTCCAAGCTTATATAAGACATGTTTACTGAGAATTTGAAATGAAGCTTTTGAAATGAAAGATTGTGGGAAAGATTGTTACCCTTATTGCTGTCAGCCTCTGAATTTATAGTTTTTTTTGTGTGTTTGATGAGAACTAATACTTTTAAAATTATTATTATTTTAAACTCTTTATTTTACTTTTTGAAATTAAACATAAAATTATCCTGTGTATCCCTTTCCTTTTCTTCCTTCAACCCATACTGAGTTTCCACTTTTTCTCTTTCAGATTCTTGAAGGCTAATGCCTTAAAGGATTGCCACAGTCCCTTTTGGTGCTTGGGTAAGATAGAAATGATTACTATACTTGAAATTCTTAAAGAATTAATGAGAACATGTTAATACCAAAAATTAGTGACTGGATCTTGTTTTCCTGATTTGTTAAAACTGGAATTAAATCAATGCTGTGATAGTGTCTGGTTTCCTGACATGTCTCTGATCTTATTGACCTAGTCATAATGATGGTGTTTGATGAGGTAGAACTGTAAAAAGAATTAAAATAGGATCACTTAATCATGCCACGACTCTTATAAGAAAAATATCCCTCATTGTTTTGATAAATGACCCACTGTGTTTAGTTAATCATGTATTCTTATTAAATTTTTGTTCTTGATTAAAGATTAGGTTCATATTTTTACTGCATATGGCATTTTGGTAAATGTATATAAACAAGATACATAATTCACATAGATGTACCTATCTCAGGAAGAGCTATGAAATGTTTGGCTGTTCTCTCCAGAACTTAAGACTTAACAAGAACCCACTTATGAAATGAAGTTGACTAATGTCACATGTTCACTGCTCAGAATTGTGTAGAGAACAGCTCTCCAAATGAAACATACTGATATTGGAATTACTGTTGATGGTCATTTATATTACCTTCATCATGTTTCTCTTGAGGAAAGCACTTTTGATTTAAGAACACTTTAAGTTTACCTCTACTTCAATCATTCTCACAAAACATAGTTAAATATTTGTTGTATAAATATGAAATGTGCTTCATGACTTCTGTGTATAATATGTGTATGAACAATGACATACTACCAAACTTGAGGAAGTTCACATCCCACTGTCTGTTCTTCACTTTTTATTAGTGGTGGCATAGTGCTTGAAATATGTGCTTTTCACAAATTCAGTGTTATATATTATCAAAATTAGTATTCATGCTGTCTTCACATCCAAGGATAAACAACCTTAAGTGTGGAAAGGACAGCCAGAGTAATATATACATACATATATATATGTGTATATATATATTATGTGACAAATATGAATTATAAAGCAAAATTTACATCACTGCTCTCTCACACAATGTTTTGTTCCTTTGACCTTTATGCAATTACCTACACACCCTGTTCTTCCCTGCCTATTTTATTCCTTCCCCCTGCTTTTCTTCAACTCATTGCAAATTGCCTTCCAAGTTTTCCTGTTCCATTATTATTTCCCTTATCTATCCTCTGCAACTCTTATTAAAATGATCTGCAGTAAAATGAGTTATATTAACTTCAGGAAGAATGTAAATTCATGTTGCTCCAAATTAGAGTCCATTCTTCCACTCCCCATGATATGTTATTTGTCTTTTCATGGATTTTGAATTGTATCATGTGAGAGTTGTTCCCAAAGAAGTTTGTAAAATTTTCTTAATTCTTCACACTCAAATAGTTCCATTAATTTCTTGTCCTTCTAGAGCATTCATTTGGTCTTTGGCACCAACTTTTGATTTTTTAAAAAATATGTATGTATGTATGTGTTTATTTAGGAAACATCTTTTTGTTTTGGTTTTTCGAGACAGGGTTTCACTGTGGCTTTGGAGGCTGTCCTGGAACTAGCTCTTTGTAGACCAGGCTGGCCTCGAACTCACAGAGATTCTCCTGCCTCTGCCTTCCAAGTGCGTACACCACCAACGCCCGGAGGAACCATCTTTTTTTATAAGTACAAATGTTAGATTTTGAGCTCCAAGACTACTTACAGGATTTTTATTCCCAGTATATTTTTTAAAATTATTTTTGATCTCTTTTCCTTAATCCAGGATCTTAGGATAGTGAACAGTGTTGCTAAATAGAAATAGTGTTGAGGAATGAGATTGAAAAATGAATAGAAATAGGAATGCAAGGCAGTTTAATAGCATACCAAACCATGTTTCAAAACTATGTAAATAAGAGCTTTTGTCACTACTGCTGTATCTTGATATAGTTGGTTTGTTTGCCTCAAGAGCTCAATTTCTTCATCTCTGTCCTTTCTACGCTAGGTATCCAAAAGCCTGTATATGTGGGTTGACTGGGAAGACATCCATCATGTCTCCTCATTCTCTTTCTAGGTTGGAGAGGCAGGAGGAAGTGAGTTTGTAGCCTTTTCACTTCTTGAATTGATGGAATCCCATGATTAGCAAATATTTATGAATGAGAAAGTGATTTGTATGTCTCTGTCTAATAAGTGAAATTTAACCACACTACAGTCTCTTTAATATAACCTCCTCAGAATTCTTTTTCTGCACATTTCATTGCTTATGCTCATGGAGGAGTAGGTTTCCCATAACCCTGCTTCCAACTGCTCTCATTGTACCAACTAATTGCTTATTGTGGGTTTAGTAGGATAAAGTCCTAACTATATTCCACCTGGATGTTGAGAAGATCGCCCTTTCTGGAAAATTTTCATTTATTATTTTGCCTTTTATTAGAAATAAATTCTTTTCACATATAATATGTTGTGATTATGATTTCCCCTCCCTCTCTTCCTCTCAATTCCCCCCACTTCCCTTCCCATTCATATCCTCCCATTTTTGTCTCTCATTAGACAAGCATCTTCTAGGAGATGACTATAAAACATAGCAAGATAAAATATAATAAGATAAAGCAAAATCTATCATATCAAAGTTGAACATGGCAAACCCACAGAAGGAAAACAATCTAAGATGAGGTGCCAAAATCAGAGACCCACCCAGAAGGTGCCATTCTTTCTCACACCCAGGAATAACATAAAAATATTGAACTGGAAGCTATAATACATATGCAGAGGACCTGGTGCAGATCAGTGCAGGCTGTCTGCGTGCTGTGTTCAGTTTCTATGAGTTTACATGAACTCTGATCATGTTGATTTAGAAAGCCCTGTTTCTTGGTGTCTTCCATGCACTCTGCTTCTTACACTCATTTCTGCCTCCTTTTCTACAGCGTTCCCTTATCTCTGAGGGGAAGGATTTGATGAAGACATTCCATTTAGAGTAGAGTGATGCAGACAATTCTAATTTTCTTTTGATGGCCAATGACACAGTCAACAAGTGATTTATCTCTGTGGGTGGGAGTGGGAGCTGGGAAGAAGAGAGGGGGAGAAGAGGAAGAGAGAGTAGGTCATGGGGGAACAGGAAGTTGAGTGGGTGGGGGTAGAACAGGGGGAAGAGGGAATCATAGGTTAGAAGACAGATCAGGCACCAGAGTGACCTCTAGTGATCTAAAGGGATAACACCAATTGGCAAGCTAAGCAATAGTGGAGAGACCACCTCAAATGCCCATTCCTGATAATGAACTTGATGTCTATAACCATCCGGGAGCCTTCATCCAGTGATTAATGTAAGCAGAGGCAAACACACAATTAAGCACTGAACTGAACCCAAGGAACCCAGTGACAGAGAGAGGAGTGATGAGCAAATTGGCAAAGAATGGGCTGGCAAAACCAGCAGAGACAGCTGATCTGAACAGGGGAGAGCTCTTGGACCCCAGATCGACAGCGGGGAGGCCAGCATGGGACTGATCTGGACCCCCCAAATGTGAGTGTCAGTGAGAAGGCCTGGGCAACCTATGGGGCCCTGAGCTGTGGATCAGTGTCTATCCCTGGAATACAAACAGTCATCGTGTGCCTATAGCGCAAAGAGGGATGCTCTCTCAGCCTGTACTCTTAGGGGAGTGCCTGGACCCTATCCAGAGTGAAATGACAGACTCTAGACATCCCCTATGTGGAAGGAATTGGCAATAGGGTGGGAGGCTGGGGGGGAAGGGGAGTGCGGGAGGAGGAGAGGGACAGGGAACTGGGATTGACATGTAAAACAAGCTATTTAAAATTAAAATAAAAAATGATAAAAGAAAAAAAAAACTAAACATTCTTTGATTCCTATCATGTAACTGAAACTTAGTTATCATATGTACCAAATGCCTTTGAACCTGTGCGATCATAAGCTCATCAGGGCAACTGCCTTTTAATGGCAATATGGACTAACATACATTTTCATTGGCTTCAGCAAAGGGATATTTTTAGAGTATATATTCCCAGTGCATTCGTGTATACTGACACTATTGAGACAGTAGTTCGTAATCATCTATATTTTATATAAAAATCCTTCTGGGCCACCCATAGTGTATTTTTTTAATCTTAGGATAGTAGTTGTGTCTTCGTTAGGGCACCTCAGTCCAATACTTTTTAAAGATATTTTGTGCCTTGCAAATATTTATTTAAAATGTATATTTAAAAATAATTCTACACTTGGGAATCTTATTAGAAACTTATTCCCCAGGAATAAAGTACAAATCCTTTACAAGGTGCTCAATGTTGTTTAAAACCCAGTACATTCAAACAGCTTTTCTTATATTCATGCATCACATCCCAACATCCCAGAAATAAATTTCCAGTGTCAGTGTGTTTCCCAATTCATGATCACAAGCTTAGAAGGTCTTGTATTCACTCTTAGTCTGTTACTGCTCACTCATTACCATGAGGAATCAATTGAAAGTATCGTTATTCTTAATTTGAAGAGTATTCCTTGTATTGTAGTATTATGTGGACTATGAAAAAATTGCAATACATTATCTCATCAATAGAAGATCATTTAATATTCACATAAAATCCCTCCCAGTGACTACTGTCTTACATTTATTAAATCTAATTTCAGGAGACATTCAATGATGACATGGAAAAGGAGAATGAAACATTACAGAGTTTGTTCTCACAAGTCTCACATGCCAACCACAGTGGAAAATTCTTCTGTTCTTAGTGTTCTTGTTAATATACCTTATGACCATTATGGGGAACCTTGGTCTTATCACTCTTATCTGTAATTACCCTCAACTTCACATTCCCATGTACTTATTCCTTAGTAACTTAGCTTTTGGGGATACTTGGTTATCACCCACAGTGGCACCAAAGATGCTGTTCAATCTTTTGGACAAGGGCAAGGTGATTTCTGCTTCTGAATGCATGGTCCAGTTTCTTTACTTTGCAATCAGTATGACCACAGAATGGCAGTAATGGCTTATAATCACTATGTAGCTATGTATCTATATGCAATCCTTTGCTCTATCCAGTAATTATGACCAATAGACTGTGCTTTGGCCTATTGGTTTTGTCATTTTTAGGTTGCTTTCTTCATGCTGTAATTCATGAAAGCTTTTTATTCAGATTAACCTTCTGCAATTCCAACATACTATATCACTTTTACTGTGATGCTATACCAATGTTGAAAATTTCCTGTACTGATCCTTCTTTGAATTATTTGATGATTTTTATTTTCTCTGGTTTAATACAAGTGCTTACCATTATGGCTGTTCTATCTCTTATACATTTGTACTCTTTACAATTTTAAAACAGAAGTCTGACCAGGGTGTAAGGAAAGCCTTCTCCACCTGTGGAGCCCACCTCTTGTCTGTGTCCTTGTACTATGGGCCTCTTCTCTTCAGTAAATTTATAATTGGATTCATTATTGAATAAATTCTATTTCTTTTGGCACTTATTGTTCTCCTTTGAACTTTGGCTGTAATTTATATAGTTGACTGTGTGTCAGATATTAAAGTATACTGCATGTTTGCTCAGATTAGTTGCATATAAACTGCATATCATGGAACATCCCAGGTTTCAAAATCAGGTGAAAGACACTCATAGACAAGTCTAGGTCCTCACAGTCCAGCTGATTGAAAAAATCTGCAGGTCTATCTGGTGTCTTATTATTCCAGGCAGGAAGATGTCATCAAGATGAGCAAATACATAGTGGAGAAATGGAAGAGAAAGAGAAGCAGAGTGGTTCATGTGCTGTGGAATGAGGTGGAATGGAAGAACTGAAGGATGTGAAGAGCAGGCAGATGTGGGCAGTCCGGGTGATGTCCAGGGCCAGGATGATGTCTGGACCCAGGCTATTGCCATGGGCATGGGCCATGTCTTAGATCATGGGTCCTACCTTAGCCAGGATCTATGATGATATCCAAGGTCTATATTGTTACCAAATCACACACTCAGTGTCTGGGCTGCCACCTGTGATCATGTTAGTGCCCGTGAGCCGTGCTGGTGTCCAAAAACCATTCTGGCACAGGCATCATGCTGATCTGAATAATGTGTACTATATCACCCAAGGCCATGGTGATATCCAGCCAAGGTCCATTTCTGGGTTCATGACCCTATAGCAGACAGGGCCTGTGCTGATGTCCATGGCTCCTATTTCCACTGAAGGTCTTGCAAACCCGGGGTCTGGGCTGTAGCTGTCAAGGGTCATGCTGCAGCTGAGCCCATACAGATCTGGGTACCCTGCACTGCCACCATGTGCCATGGTGACATGCAGGCTCAGGCTGCAGCAGAAGTCCATGTCTGGGTCTGTTTTCCTTAAGTAGCAGAGCCTAGGTTTCTGTCCATGGTCCATGTTGCCACCATAAACTACATGGATGCCTGTGGTCTAGGCCACAACCTATGCCATGTTGGTGTCTTAGGACTGTGCTGCAGCTGGTGATATGCCAATCTGAGTGGCTTGAACTGACAACCAGGGCCATGGTATCCATACCTGGACTGCTCCCAATGACCATGACTGGTTCATGACCTTACAGCATCCAGAATATTAGTTGATGTCCATGGCTCCTATTACTACCAAGAGCTATGAAGATGTCTGGTGTCTGGTCACCCACCTGAGTCCATGCTGGTGTCTGGGGTCTGTAATGCCACCAGGGCCATAGCGATCTGGATGACCTGCACTGCCACCAGTGTAATGGTGACATCTGGGACCAAGCTGTAGTCAAGGGCCGTTTCTGAATTCATGGTTGTGCTGCATTTTGGGTCTCTGTTGATGTCCATGGCCTGCGATATCACAGGTGGTCATAGGAACCATATATGTTATAGTCAGAGGGCCTTGCTGAGACAGCCCCCAATTACTGGTCCTAGGATAGCTAGTCTTACCCAATCCTAGTTTGCAGCTGGTCTTATCATTCATGGGAGAGTTGACCCCTGCACTTAGGAGAGAGGGTCTCACCCCTTACTATGGGAGTGGAAGAGCTGGCCCTGGTGTTTTGGGTCTAGGAGAGCTGGCTCTGCCACCCATCTAAGAGGAGTGGACCTCATGGCCTTTATTGACAATGTAAGCTACCACCAGACCCACAACGTGGGATTTGGGTTGGCCTACACTAATATCTACACTATCAATCACCTTCTGGAGAGTTAGAACCGTCAGATACCTCAGAATGGTAGCCACAGGATCCCCACAACTTGGGGAAACAGCAGGATATCTGACAGGATGGTGTGATAAGAGGCCAGAGGCCTTGAACCAGTACACTGAGTTACTGAAATGAACCTTTGCCATTGGGGCTGATTGGACAAAAGAGTATGTTGATTGTATTTTTTGTTGTTATTCTTATTTATTTATTTATTTATTTATTTATTTTTAAGGTTAAATTTGATTAGAAACAAGGTTGCTTCACAAGTCAGTTCAGGTACCGCTCCCTTTCCCTCCCCTCCTCCCGTGCCCTTCCCCCAACTCCCCCAGTATCCCCTCATTTACCAGGGAGGGTGAGGCCCTCCATGGGGGTGTCCATAGTCTATCATTTCATCCAGGGCAGGGCCTGGACCCTCCCCCAAGAGTCCAGGGTGAGAGTGCATCTCACATTGTTGGATGGGAGTCCAAAGTCCATGTGTATACTCGGGATGGGTACTGATCTGCTGCGCAAGGCTCAATAGATTACCTAGGCCTGCTCACTGACACCCAGATTCAGGGGGTCTTGATCACTCCCATGCTGGATTCCCAGGCATCAGCCTGGAATTCAAGAATTAACCTTTGTCAGGTTAGCTGCTTCTGGGGTTAAACTGACCCAGTCTTAATCCTTTTGATCATCCAGTCCTCCCTCTCTGTTACTGGCTTTCTTGAGTTCAGCTCAGTGCTTTTCCATGGGAGTCTGCTTCTTCTTCCATCAGCCACTGAATGAAGAAGGTTCTGTTTCCCAGAATCGCTGGCCATGGGATTGTAGGCTGGTATTCCTCAGATCTATGTCAAAAATCCATATATGAGAGAGTACATACCACGTTTCTGTTTTTGTGACTGGGTTACCTCACTCAGGATGCTTTATTCTAGTGCCATCCATTTGCCTACAAATGTCAGGATTCCATTGGGGTTTTTTTATGGTGAATAATACTAAATTGTATAAATATACTACATTTTCTCTATCCACTCTTCAGTTGAGGGACATCTAGGTTACTTCCAATTTCTGGCTATTACAAATAATGCTGCTATGAACATAGTGAAACAGATATCCTTGTTGTATGAATGGGCATCTTTTGGATATATGCCTAAGAGTGGAGTTGCTGGGTCTTGTGGTAGGTTTATTCCCATTTTTCTGAGGAATCTCCATACTGATTTCCAAAGTGGCTGAACAAGTTGGCACTCCCACCAGCAATGGAGGAGTGTCCTGCTTTCACCACATCCTCTCCAGCATAAATTATCATTGGTGTTTTTGATTTTAGCCATTCTGACAGGAGTGAGATGGTGTCTCAGAGTTGTTTTGATTTGCATTTCCGGGATGGCTAAGGATGTTGAGCACTTTCTCAAGTGCCTCTCAGCCATTTTAGACTCCTCTATTGAAAATTCTCTATTTAGTTTTTAATTGGATTCTTTGGTGTTTTGGAGACTTGCTTCTTGAGTTCTTTGTAAATTTTGGAGATCAACCCTCTGTCAGATGTGGGATTAGTGAATATTTTTTCCCTTTCTGTGAGGTGCCTTTTTGTCTTCCTGACTGTGTCCTTTGGCTTCTCAGTTTTAGTCCCATTTATTAATTGTTGACCTTACTGTCTGTGCTACTGGTATTATGTTCAGGAAGCTGTCTTCTGTACCACTTCATTCAAGGGTACCAGCCACTTTCTCTTCTAAGAGGTTCAGTGTGGCTGGATTTATGTTGAGGTCTTTGATCCATTTGGACTTAAGTTTTGTGCATGGCGATAAAAATGGATTGATCCACATTCTTCTACATGCCAGCCTCTAGTTATGCCAGCACCATTTGTTAAAGATGCTTTCTTTATTCCATTGTATAGTTTTAGCTTCTTCGTTGAAGATCTGATGTTCATATGTTTATGGGTTAATATCAGGGTTTTCTTTTTTTTATTGTTCAGTTTAAATTTAGATAAGAAACAAGGTTGTTTCACAAGTCAGTTCCAGGTCACTCTCCCTTTCCCTCCCCTCCTCCCGTACCCTCCCCCAACCCCCCATTATCCCCTCATTTCCCCAGGGAGGGTGAGGCCCTCCATGGTGGTGACCATAGTCTGTCATTTCATATAGGGCAGGGCCTAGACCCTTCGCTAAGAGTTCAGGGTGAGAGTGGACCTCACATTGTTGGATGGGAGTCCAAAGTCCATGTGTATACTCGGGATGGGTACTGATCTGCTGTGCAAGGCTCAATAGATTACCTAGGCCAACCTCACTGACACCCAGATTCAGGGGGTCTTGATCAGTCCCATGCTGGATTCCCAGGCTGATGCCTGGGATTCAAGAGTTAACCTTTGTCAGGTCTGCTGTTTCTTGGGGTTAAACCAGCCCAGTCTTAATCCCTTTGGTCATCAGTCCTCCCTCTCTGGTATTGGCTTTCTTGAGTTCAGGTCAGTACTTAACCGAGGGAGTCTGCCTCTTCTTCCATCAGCCACTGAATAAAGTTTCTGTTTCCCAGACACTCTGGCCATGGGATTGTACGCTGGCACTCCCCAGATCTATGTCTAAAATCCATATATGAGAGAGTACATGCCATGTTTCTCTTTTTGTGACTGGGTTACCTCACTCAGGATGGTTTCTTCTAGTGTCATCCATTTACCTGCAAAACTCAGGATTCCATTGTTTTTTTCTGCTGAATAG